ATTTCGAAAGATTTATATTATTAACAAAAAAAATTTACAACAAAATATCAATAAAAATGTCTCTAATAAAAATACAAAAATTATAAATACAAGCCTCTAAATAAATAAAAAGGTAAAATTGTAAAATTCAAAAAATAAAAATTATAAATAAATTAAGATATGATAAGAAGAATATTTGATAAACAATTGTTGAGTAACCTTTTACTTGACCAGAGTTTGTAACAAACTGGTTTTTGTTTAGTATGGTTCTTGTATCACTGCATAGATTCAAATTCTACATAATACATGTTGGTCACAACAAAAAAAATCATTGTACCCAATTTTCTTTTATTTCCTCTCTATTCATAATCGCTCAGCATAATTTGAAACAATAAAAAGAATGGTAACCATAAATCTTTTATAGGTTTTAGATGTTTCCGTTTTTATTGGTTTTTTTTATATAATTCACCCAGACTATCGAAATGACGAATTTAAATTCATACATATTTATTTATTTATTTTTAAAGAAAGTATTATAAGCCAATGGGCCTCATCTTAAATACTAATTTTCTTGTAGTTTTCATCTCTAACTTTTGTTTTTGATATAAATTAATAATTTAAACGACACAATATAGCCCTAAATATTAGCTTTTAACTTTTGAGGGCAATTCTCTTTTTATTCTTAATTACAAAATAAGAGGTCTTTTTGGCTGGAATTCCTCAACCCAATCCTTTTTGTAGTATCATATATCTCAGATAATAAATTTTATGTAGTAGGATAAAAGTATAAACAGCATTTTAATTAGTTGATATGTAATTATTGGTTAGCAATCAATTAGAGTGAGTTCGGCTGTTTCTTCATGTAATGATGATTACATCAATTTGGTTCTTCTTTTGTTAGTTCTTCGAACTATTTAAATCATAGTCATTTTTCTTTGTATTTATACCCAATGTTTATTTGGAGTTAACTATTACAAAACTGGTCGCATCAAAGATGAATAGGATCGCTCGAACTATTTTTAACGAACATAAAATTTCACAATTTTAATATATGTTTTTAACAAAATGTATTATTTTACGAAACATCTGTTGTATATTCTCTGAATCTTTCATCGCAAGCCGCGTTGTAATTTCAAAAACATTTCTCCATAAAAAGTCGATGGCGTTAATATATTAGAGTCATCGTAACCGTGAGGAAAGTTGTAATAGGAGAATTTCAATATAAGAATGATGTTGTAGAAGCTGCTGATCCGAACAATAGTAATGAAGATAATAGATATTTTTATATACAGATAATGGAGGAAGTTTATGAAGAATATGAAGTGATCTATCAGAAAAAATGATATTTAGTGATGAACTAGTGTTGGTATGTACTGAACAATCATCACTTGCAACCATATTTTTATCGATGGTAGGCGCACTATGATATGTTCACAATACTTCTTAATATCAACTTTAGTATTGTTCATCTTAAGGCTATCTAGGTATTTTGTCAAACATTTTTAATGTACAAACTTCCTTACC